TAGAAAAAATCAGAAAATACATAAAAAAAAGTGCCGCTATAGAAAAAATTAAGGAAAAAGTGCCGCTATTTTTAAAGTGTTATATATAAAAGTATATAAAAGGAAAAAATGTTAAAATACATAAAAAAAGTGCCGCTATAAAAAAAAATATATAAGAAAAGTATATATATATATTGAAAATTAATAAGCTTACATGAATATTAAAAAGAAAAAATTATTTTATGAATACCCTAATTGTGTTATTACAAGCAAATAAAGTGTACATACATGCATACATATATACGTACATATTAAATGTGGAAAAAATTAAATGTGAAAAAATTAAGAAAAAAATAAAATAAAGCAAAAAGAAAATTACAAATAAAATCAAACGGGAAAAAAAGAGTTCAATTTAAAAACAGAAATAAGAGAATTTCTGTATCTCTCCCACTCATTCATCAAGAGAGCAAACATCACTCATTCATCAAGAGAGCACATCAAGGGCATATCAGTAAGAGAACATCTCAACAACAAGAAGGAAGAAAGAACAAAAGCAAGTACACTCAAACGAAGTAAGAGAAAGCAATTCATCAAATCTAAAGTGAGTAATTTTTACATTATTTTTACACTCGAATATTTAATGTGAGTAATTAATTTGCGAAAAAAAGTGTTAATAAAGAAAAATATATTGTAAACTATTCTAAATTGAAAAAGTGGTACAAATAAATAAAATTTTGTTAAAAATAAATGTGCTTTAAAATATTTATACGGTTTTTGGAAAAAAAAGCTAGTGAAAAGTGAAGACTTGAATATAACCAAGAGTTTTTAAAATTTTCATAAAAAAAAAAAAAAAAAAACTACATTTAGTGATGCTAAAAAGTTCTTTCAATATCTCTCTTACATGTTGAACTGATTGTAACACATTTTGGAAAAAAAATGAAATAATCCCAACAAACAATTAAATTGAAAAAAAAACTACATTTAGTGATGCTAAAATTTTATCGTGATTGTATGCAATTTTTATATATTAAAAAAAATTATTTAATGTAAATAAGATAAAAAATCGTTATTTTGAACCATTCATACGATCATTAAAGATTATAAACATAAATCCAATACATTTATATTTCTTTTAATTGTTTGCTGGGTAATGAGAAAATAATAAAAATAAAAAACGGTACCTTTGTTATATTCAAGTCTTGTCAAAGAGAATTAAAGTAAACAAGTATAGGGTTTGCAGTTTCAGTTTACAATTAGGGTTCGCAATTCCGGTTTACAATATCTCTTATTCTCGATTATTTATTAACGAAATTCCCAAAAATAGAAAACAGAATTATAAAAACTTCGAAATTTGAAAAATAATTAAAAGAATAAAAGTGTATGTGTAATAACGTTTGTGGTGTTTATTCTGCCTAATAAGTAGAATAAAATTAAAAAGTATATGTATTTAAAAGTTAAAGTCAAAATTTAACTAAGAATACATACTACAGCCACTCAAAACACAAATAACAAAAGAATACAGAAAACATTTTTGTTAATAAAAATTAATATACTGTTGTAAAATATTAAACGTTTATAACCCTATGATCATTCGTGCGTTTGTGGTGTTTATTCTGCCTAATAAGTAGAACAAAATTAAAAAGTATATGTATTTAATACATATTACAGCCACACAAAACATAAACTTTAATAACTTACAATATTCGCCGGTAAAAACAAAGTGCGTTCTCTTGAGTATTATACAAATAAAAAAAATTTTTGGAAGTTGTCCCTCTCTTAAATGAAAACTATAAAATATTTTGCTCTTAAATAGAAACATATGGTTAATTTATACAGCATAGGTACATGAATTGTCCTACACCAAATTATAAAGAAAATTATAAAGAAAAAGGGGTCTTACACCGAAACATATACATAACACAACGAAGATCACAAGACAGTTGTTTACGTCGACGAGGATATCGAGGGATCTGGATAGAATTGAACGAAAATTTCACATGAAGATACTGAATCTGGAAATTAAGGAGACAAACTATAAATTGAGTGATCTAAAAGATGAGATGAGAGAAAGCGAACAAATGATTAACAGATCACTGAATGCAAGGGAATACGGAGAATTCATGACGAAACAAAAAGCGAGATATAAAAAGAACTCAATTATGAATAAAAGGACACTTACATCTAAAATCGAACACTTGAAGAGAGACAAATTTACGGAATTTAACATAAAATTTAATCCAGACTGGTTTATCAACAAAACATCATTAAATATTCCAGAAGAAAGCCAATGGATACTCTCTCTTGGCTCAAAATTTGCTCTACCAATAGACAATAATTTTTCGACAATCGGATTAATAGCAGATATAGAGCAATGGGTTCAAACAATTACGGACGATAGAGAAAAGGATATTACCAGATCGAAGATAGCCAATAGAATTATGACTTATAGGAGAACTAAGAGGAACAATGAAAAGGAGAAATATATATTGAACATTTATGAGGATACGAGGAAATTCTTGAGAAGATATAAGAAAAAAGTTGTTATAACGAAAGCGGACAAGGGGAATAAAACAGTTTTAATGTACAGAGAAGAGTATTACAATGGAATGGGGAAGTTACTTGAGGATAAAATCACATATAAACGTATACCGACAGATCCGACACAAAAACTACAACGAGCTAACAACGCTCTCATAACGAACCTATACAAAAGGGAATATATAAATAGATATGATAAGATAAAATTGACATCCAATGCGGCAACAGCTCCAAGATTATATGGACTCCCAAAAATTCATAAACCAAACACTCCACTGAGACCAATATCTTCATCAATAGGAGTACCATGTTACGAATTATCGAAATATATTGGGAACATACTGAAAAACATTATATTGGAAGAATATAACATTAAAAACGCCTTGGAATTGAAGAGTAAATTGGATACGCTAACATTGGACGAAGATGAGATCCTAATATCATTAGATGTGGTGTCACTTTTCACGAACATACCCATACACCTAGCGATAAATAACATTATGTCGAAATGGGATAAATTACAGAGCCACACGAAAATACCTAGGTCGCAATTTTTGAGAATATTACAATTTTGCTTGAATGACAACAACTATTTAATGCATGATGGAATATTTTACCACCAAACTTATGGCATGCCAATGGGCAACCCATTATCTCCAACGATAGCTGACATTATACTGGACTGTCTACTAGAACAATGTATAGAGGAATTACAAGCCAAGAATATAAATATACGACTTATCACAAAATATGTTGACGATTTATTTGCTATTATAAAATACAATGAGGAGGATGACATATTGAAAACTTTTAACTCCTACCATAACAGATTGAAATTTACACTGGAAAGGGAACATGAGAACTCATTACCATACCTGGATATGAAATTATACCGGAAAAATTGCAGGATAGTAACAGATTGGTACATGAAACCAATTGCTTCTGGACGACTGATGAACTTTCACTCAACACAACCTATGAAACAGAAGATGAATACGGCAATGAACTTAATTGATAAAGTCATAAAGACTAGTGACAGACAGTTCAGGGATAATAATATGATAAGGATAAGAGATATCTTACGCAAAAATGACTTCCCACATGGGTTGATCACCACATTAATAAGGAAAGTTGAGAACAAAATTAATTCCCCAGGTAATAACCAAGATAAGGATACATCTGGCAACACTAAATATTACAGCATACCGTTTATACCAAAATTAACAGAGAACAAACAAATAAGGGACATAATGAACGAGAAACAAATAATTATTGCATACAAATCGAATAAGACAATACAACAACTATTCACACAAACAAAAACAAAAATTGAAAATAGAGAACAAAACAATGTTGTGTACCAAATAAGATGTGATGGTGGGGACAATGAAGAGTGTGGAAAAGTTTATATTGGCACAACAAAGAGAAATTTAGGCGTGAGAATAGATGAACACATAGCTGACATAAAGAAAGGTAAACAATCAACTGCACTTGCACAACACTGTATTGAAAATAGACATAAACCTAATTTTGACAATGTAAGAATTGTGGACAAAGAGAGAAGAGAAAACAAGAGATTTACATTGGAAAGCTTGAGGATACAAACAAAATTCGAAGAGTGCAATAAATACAAAAGAAGATAAAGATAATACAAATGCAAATTACACCATAACATTATTCTAGTATAATAACAAACTGTGATCGAATAAGAACTTTTACTGTGATATTAAATTTTATTATCTTTACATTATTTAGTAATAAGTTTTTTGTTTGTGTTGTCCAAGTTTACAAAAAACTGTGATATTTTTAATAATGTAATTTTGACAAAAAAGAATATTTGTAAGTAAAAATTGTTCTTTATATAGATTATAAGATTGTTGTTACTGACAATTTAAACAAATATTTATTTTTCTTTTGTATAATTATAATGTTGCCAGATCATAAATAAAATCAAAAATCCCTGAAGAAGTTGGAAAATACCAACGAAACGTCGGATAGATTGAAGATGGGATAAATAATCTTTTATTTGAACAATGACCTTAAAAGCCTGTTTATAGGAAACTATATTTAATAATTGAGATAATTGAGAGAAGGTCGAAATAGAATATTATAGAATTATGAAAATTTGTTAATTTAAAATAAATTTTTGGAAATATTTGCACAGAAAAAACTTAAATACGATTTCAATTATCAAAATTTTATTTTCAAATATTTATTTATTGAAGTTCAATTTATAACAGTAAATACATATTCAATTCTTGCTTCTAATTGATTTTCAACACGGAAAAAAATTTAATTTAAAATTTTTTATAAAACAAAATATCGAAAATAAATTTAGAAAAAAAAGATTTAATCTCCGCAAACTTAAATAAATTTAATTTGCAAACGAAATAATTCGATATATTTAAAATTTTTGTTTGTCCCATAATAAATAATTTTTCTACGAAAATCAAATTCCAATGAAAATCTAATTACAAGGAAAATCAAATTCAATGAAAATCAAATTCCAATAAAAATCAAATTTCAATGAAAATCAAATTTCACGAAAAAAATAAAAATTCTAAAATTTAATACAAAATTCATTTAATAAATTGATTACGGAATAATTTCCTATTTGTTCACATTAACCGCTTAATTGATATTTCTGGAATAATTCCACAAGATTGTATTGAGAAATCAGAATACCACATAATACATAAAAGTTTTTTTTGATATTCGGTTGGTAAAAACATTACACTATATAATAATTGATCAAACCATTTCAGTATCAATTTCTCTATTGATTTAAACTCATTAATTGCTTGATTAAAGTGTATATTCTATTATTTTTTGTTTTGCTAGATTACAACAATCTAGTGCATTTATTCCATAGCTAAGCTATCACAAAACATATAGAAGATATACTTTATAATTTACTGATATTCCTACTTGTGTGCCAAAGAGAAATTTTTTTACCAATCAAAGTGAACAAATATATAGGATTTTTATCTCTTGTTTTCAGTTGTACTAGCCACAAGAACTAGTACTATCATTAAATAACGCTATAGTTGAAAAATCTTTTTTTGATTATTCTCAACATAATTTACATCAAAAATATATAAAGGTTTATTGAACATCTGTATCACAATACAGTACTTTAACTTAAAAACTATTGTTCTGTTAATCACAGACTTAACTCTTTGAATAAAATAAAATATCGAATATAATTATCATACAAAATGCCGCATGAAGAAGATTCCCCTATAGTTGATAGGTCATTTAATCCATCATACAAAGATTATTTTAGATTTGATTGTGAACATTTACTTCAGTATTGTGGAAAAGTGAATGAGAGCCAAACAGAAGATCAAAATGAATCTATATTAGAAGCAAGGTTAAAAGAGATAGAAGCAAGATGGGCAAAAGTAGATACTTCTTATCAAAAAGTAATGTTATCTCAAGATGACACAATTGATATAGAATTTAAAAACCAAGCAAGAGATGCATTTGATTCTTGTACAGAAGCATATGTCCAAACCACATCACAAGTTGTTGAGTTCCTTAAAAGCATGCGCTTAGATACAGTACAAATGCCAATGTTCCAATCAACATCTCGACCTTCAATACCATATCAAAATCAAATGAACGATAGTTCAAGTATCTGTATTAAACTCCCACCATGCGACACAGAAATATTTAAAGGTAGTTATGAACAATGGCCCTCGTTTAAAGACATGTTCACTGCAGTTTATATTAATCATTCAAAACTTACTCCTATAACCAAATTATATCATCTCAGAAACAAAACAAGAGGTGAAGCAGGAGCTATAGTAAAACGATATGCATTGTCCAATGATAATTTTGAGTTAGCTTGGAATGCGTTAAAAACTAGATACGAAAACAAACGAGTTTTGGTCGATAACCAAATCAAAATATTGTTTGATATACCAGCCGCAATTAATGAAGATAGTGAGTCCATAAGAAAAATACAGTCGTCAGTAAACGATTCATTAGTAACACTCAGTACGCTAGGAGTAGAAGTAAATAGTTGGGATCCCATTTTAATTCGTTTAGTATCAACAAAATTACCGGAATGTACTCTAGCATTATGGGAACAAAATTTAACTTCTCCTCGTGAATTACCAAAATGGTCGCAAATGTCACAATTTTTAGTAGACAGATATGAAGCGGTAGAGCGACTAACAGGCATTAAAACAACAAAAGACAGTTTTACTCTTTCCAATAAAAAATCTCATATACAAACATATACATCGCAAGAAAACATATATACGAATTGTAAACTCTGTAATAATGAACATTATTTAAGGAATTGTCCAAAATTCAAAACGTTTTCAACGCAACAAAGAATAGATTTTGTCTTCAAAAATAAAATATGTAACAATTGTTTAAGTCCTTCACATATTAAGACGAAATGTAGAAGTAAAAGAACATGTTTTTACTGTAAGAAAGATCACCATTCATTATTGCATATTGCACACAAACCATCAATTACACCACAAAATTCTGAAAATATTCAAAACAATGGTAATAGTAACCATACTAAAAATAATATTCAAAATACAAATACACAAGCTGAACAGACGAGTAATTCTTACAAAGATGAACCTGCAACTACTTCACAACGCGTTCAGGCAAACTGCTCGTCTAGCAACGAAAATATTTTATTGCGTACAGCTTTGATGCAAATAGAGCATCAAGGAGAAATCTTTACGATAAGAGCTTTGATAGACCCAGGCACCCAAAGAACATTTATTACAGAAAAAATAAGAAGTAAATTAAAGTTGCCTTATAGAAATTCTCATTTTGAAATTAGTGGAATAGGAGGTCAAAAACAATCCGCAAAAAAAGAGTGTGAATTTATTTTATATGCAAAGAAATATAACCTACGAGTTCCAATTAAGGCAATCGTCTTGTCGAGTGTTACTAATACACTACCAGCAGTTACGTTTAAAGTCCCATATTCTGCAGAACTTAAGAAATTGGACTTAGCTGACCCAAATTTTAATAAATCTTCCCAAATCGATCTTATTCTTGGTAATGATTATGAACATTGTCTGAATCTAGAAGGCATAAAGAAAAATATATGTGGCCAAACATCAGCCTATAAAACTATATTTGGATGGGTGCTTAGCGGACCAATAAGAGCTGAAACTGTTCAATCATTCTCAACTGCGGTTACTTCATCAGAATCTTCAGAAGTCAGTACACTATTGAGAAAATTTTGGGAGCAAGAAGAAATACCCAAAACTCGCCTTACGTCAGAAGAAGATGATTTTGTTGAACAATTTTACACTCAAACAACTACTCGAAACAAAGATGGACGATATATTGTAAGGTTACCTTTTAAAAAAGAGTATCACGAATCAGTATATTTAGGATCATCTAGATTTATCGCATTAGCTCAATATGCCAGTATGGAAAAAACTTTAGGAAAAAATAATGAATTGCAAGCTGAATATAAATCTGTTTTAGACGAGTATTTAACTCTAGACCACATGGAAGAAACAACATCAACTGAAATTAATTATGAAGGTAAATTTAGTTCTTATTATTTGCCCCATCATGCGGTCGTGCGACCTGACCATAAAACAACAAAGCTGAGAATTGTGTTCAATGCCTCTAGGAAAACAAAATCCAACTTTTCTCTAAACGATGTTCTGTATACAGGTCCTACAATTCAAAACGACTTAATAACAGTAATTCTGAATTGGAGAAGATATAAATACGTGTTCAGTGGGGACATACAGAAAATGTATCGTCAAATCCTAATTCATCCAAATGATAGAGCATTCCAAAGAATATTATATCAACCTGAAAAAAATGGCCCTATTAAAGATTATGAATTGAAAACTGTTACGTTTGGAGTGAATAGCGCGCCTTTTCTAGCAATTCGTACGTTACATCAACTAGCGTCAGATTCAAAAGCGGAATCTCCCAAAGCATCATCCATTTTAAAGTATGAGACTTATGTAGATGACATATTAACTGGAGGGTTTTCAATTGAAGAAACTCGAGAGGCACAAAATGAATTAATTAAAACTCTGAAGTCTGCTGGATTTTTACTCAAGAAAATAACAGCAAATGATACACAGTTATTGGAAGATGTACCAAAAGACGATATATATGATTCCGATTTTTTACGGTTTCATGAAACTAGCTCCACAAAAACTTTAGGCATAAAGTGGAACGCAATATCAGATACATTTACATATACTTTTTCAGCACTAAGTCCATCTACGAAAATAACAAAACGCCAAGTTCTGTCATCAGTCGCAAAACTGTTTGATCCAGCTGGATGGCTAGCCCCTATAGTCATCAGAGCAAAAATATGTATGCAGCAGTTATGGTTAGAAGGTAAAGACTGGGATGAAGAAGTTTCTGAGGAATCTCTACAAAATTGGAACAATTTAGTACAAGACTTATCTGAAGTTGAACTAATATCAATTCCCCGTTGGATTCAACTTATGCCTAATGATACAATACAAATTCACGGTTTCTGTGATGCATCGAAATCCGCTTATTGTGCCACTGTATACATTAGGTGTCAAACAAAAACTCAAAATGTATTCTCAAATTTACTAGTAGCAAAAAGTAAAGTTGCCCCTTTACAAACTGTCTGCCTCCCGCGCTTAGAGCTTAATGGCGCAGTGTTATTAGCAAATTTAGTTAATTACGTAATAAACTCTCTTAATTTCAGTAAAAGCGAAATATATTTGTGGACAGATTCAGCTATAGTCCTTGGATGGTTATCAAAACCACCTTCATCATGGGAAACTTATGTGGCAAACAGAACATCACGAATACATGAATTAATGACTAATGTCACATGGCGACATGTTCCAACACATGATAATCCAGCTGATTTGGGCACACGAGGTTGTAAAGCACAAAATTTGGTAAATAATTCACTTTGGTGGAATGGACCATCATGGTTAAAAAAACCATCATCAGAATGGCCTAAACGAAATATATTAAATAATAACCCAGAAAATAAAGAAATACAATCTCTAAACGTTCAGCTTGAAACGGATGACATCCTAGACAATTTTTCATCATATGGCAGAGCTTTACGGGTAATATGTTACATTTTTAGATTTTTCCATAATACTAATAAGAAAATGCGTAAAAATTTAAAACATAATACTCAAATTGCATTGACACAAAATGAAATGAAATTTGTAAAGTCAAGACTAATTGTTTTAGCTCAAAAAACATTTTATAACGAAGAATATCAATGCGTAAGTAAATCAAAAGATATTTCAAACAAAAGTACGCTGAAAAGTTTAAACCCATTCATAGATAAAGATTCAATTTTGAGAGTAAATGGTAGATTAGCTCATTCATCACGACCATATGGCGAACGTTATCCCATAATTTTACCTGGCAACTCCCGATTTTGCCAATTATATTTACACCATTTGCATGAGTTTCTCTTTCATGCTGAATGCGGTCAAATGTACCGAATAATACAAACTGAATTTCTCATATTCAGACTAAAACCTTGTATTAAGAAAATAATCCGTAACTGTAAAATATGCTTAATATATAAAAAGCAGCCATGCTCTCAGATAATGGCTCCCTTACCTCCGGAAAGATGTAATCTCTCTCTTCCTTTCCAGGTAACAGGTATTGATTTTGCTGGACCTTTTGAGTTAAAAACGTCGATTCTAAGAAAATCTCCAATAACTAAAGGATATGTAAGTGTATTTGTATGTTTTAGCACGAAAGCTGTCCATTTAGAGCCATGTTCAGAATTATCCTCAGCGGCATTCCAAGCTACCTTCGCTCGATTCATTGGGAGGCGGGGGCTCCCCCAAAGGGTAGTTACGGATAATGGACGAAATTTCTTAGGTGCTAGTAGAATGCTGGAACGAGAATTTTCTGCGTTTGTTAAAAATAGTGCCCAAGATGTAGCGCAGAAATATATAACACATGGGTTTGAATGGAAATTCATCCCACCTCATGCTCCTCATATGGGCGGCCTCTGGGAAGCAGCCGTAAAAAGCTTCAAATATCACTTTAAACGAATTGCTGGGGCTCACAAATTCACCTTTGAGGAATTCGCCACAATTTTAGCACGAATAGAAGGAGTACTCAATTCCCGGCCTATATCAGCAGTATCAGAAGACCCTTCAGATCTCACAGCTCTAACGCCAGGACATTTTTTAAGAGGTGCCCCTTTGATGGCATTCCCTGAACAAGATTGTTCGAATATGTCGGTAATAAATAGATGGGAAAAGCTGAAGGTTATACATCATCAATTTTGTCAACGATGGAAAAATGATTATCTAAAATCACATCATAAAAGGTATAAGTGGAAAACCTCATCTCAAAATATGCAGGTTGGAGATTTAGTCATTATTATGGACGATCTACTGCCGCCTCACGAGTGGAATCTTGGCCGAATTGAAAAAACTTGTTCCGGTTCAGATGGTAATGTACGAACTGCCGAGATACGAACTGCTAATGGGGTAATTAAACGACCTATCGTCAAATTGTGTTACCTACCTTTTCTAAATCAAGAAGAAGCTCAGGTAGACTCAAACCTTAAAGTTCAATCCTCTTTTTCAAAATAAAATTAAAATTTATATCTCAAATATCTTAGTTTATCTTTAATTTCTACCATAGCTTAAAAATGATGTATTTAAAATATCCTAATAAAAATTTATTATTCAAATTTCAAGGATGTTTGATGACTGATAACCCATATTCAAATTTGCAATCCAACCATTTCCCTATAATATACTAATTGAACTATGTTTTCCTTTTATCTATCACCACATCAGGTCCAATCGACGACTAACCGCCACTCGGGTCCCTAATGAAAATCATAGCCCTAATGAAGAGAGAAGCGTGGTACCAAGAGACTTAGAGGTGTTCTACTGTGTGATATGCACAGGATATCACGGGCTCAAGTTCTGTCGAAGATTTAGAAGGATGACGCCACAAAAGAGAAGGGACATAGTTGAACGACTAGGGTACTGTGTTAATTGCTTGGCTAGAAGCCACAGCATCCGGTCATGTACCTCAATGGAGGCGTGCTTAAAATGTGCACAATTGCACCATACCCTGTTGCACCCAACAAGAACAGTCAGCCCACGACCGAGAACTACCACCAGCAGCAGTCGACGCAGTCTCGATAACTCCGAGACCCACCAACAGCATCGTCAACACCAACAGCTTCGTCAACACCAGCAGCATCGTCAACACCATCGTCAAAACCGACAACATCAACCTCACCCTCATCATCACCAACATCAACATCAACATCGTCATCATCAACATCGTCATCATCAACGTCAGCAACATCATCATCATCGTCAGCAACGTCATCAACTTCAACAACGTCACCCAACTCCACAACCGCCAGCTCCAGTTGCATCTCCTGCTACAAATACAACACCCGCTCCAGATCAACACATCTTGGCTGAAGCTATAAAATCGTTAGTCAACGTCCTATGCTATCAAAGCAAAAAGGAGTAAATAGGCAAGGTTCGAGGCCGGCGCCATGTTGAAACCAATATTTAATTGTTTTTTTTATATATATTATTCAATGAATTATTATTACAATTAGTATTAAGTTATGAATTGTATTTTGAATTTGAATTAAAGCATTATTAGTAGATTAAGTTTAAGTGTATTAACTGAATTATAAAATTGAATTATACAAAATTAAGTACTATTTGAATTTTATATATTAGTAAATTAATGGTTAGTATCTAATATAAAATGAATTGAAAATAAGTACTACCTTAATATAATTAATATAAAATATAATGATCATTAACTAAAAGATGTTAATAATTAAGTAGATAACAAATAATGTTGCTAACGGTTTTTTTTAAGAAGATAAAAGATTTCCAACCAACTGTTCGGGTTTTGGAAAAGAAGTTAGGTGTAATTATAAAAATAGAATTTGTAATCTGTCACTTCTTGCTTGGCAACAGAACTATTCAGTTCATTTCATCCACAATAACCCAATAAAATTGAAACATTTATAACGTTTTTAGAAAAAAAAAAGAACCTTTAAACTCTTTTCCTCAAATTGGTAAATACAAAATCACACATACAACAAGGTAAAGTAAAAAAAAGGGAACACATACTCCTCTAAAACATAAGTATATATATTTGTATAATAACAATATCTCTTATTTCCCTCATAATTAACTCCAATAATTAAAATCACTTTCTGAGTGATTAAAATTATTCATTTTCTCCCAAAAAAACCAAGGGTTCCTCATCCTCAAAAGGAGAAAATTTATTAATAATTTGTTTTATCTTTCATACAAATTATTTCAATGGTCATGATCCCTGCCAGCAAATTTGAGTTTAATTTTGGATACATGAACTGAATAGTCACTATAAAGGCTCAATTTTATGTTTCTCAGTGCTAAGTTAAAAAATTTACAAAAACAAAATACAGTACTTTCTAATTTTGATCATAATTTTGTTAAATTTTAGTGCGTTTTAATATACCAAAAGCAAAATTAAATGATAATAAGTAGATAGAATAAAAATTTCAAAAACTAACACTTTTTAATACAATAAGAAGATAGTTTAATGCAGAATCATTCTTGCTCTCAAAATTAAGAAGGAAAAGTGTTTGCACATTTCAGTAAATATATTTATTTCATTGTGATCAGTTGTGTGATATATTGTGAAATTTAGATTTTGTAATAAATTGTGTTAATTTAAAATTTAATATATCTAAAACATAGTTTAATATAAAATAAGCATCAGTGAGAGATTAGTGAGTGCAAAACAGTATAATAAAGGAGAAATAAAAAAAATTATTATAAAGTCGCTTTTATAACATAAAAGAGTATAAAATCATGACACTTTCCAGCTTCTCTATTGATATGGCAAAACTGGAAATTTACTACATTTACGAAATTTTATGTTATAAAAAAGTGACTTGAAATTGAAACGAAATGGACACATCAAGTAAGTATTAAACAGGCGGAACAGTTTCTTCCGAACGGGGTCACTTTTTATTCACTCAGATTATATCAAATTAGATTGTTTTAAACATTAACGTTATGGTTACAATTTGGATAGAAATTGTTGGCAGGGATTACATCTATAAAATTATGGTAAAATTCAAAAAAGAAGTACAAATACTAAAAAGAAGTACATTTGCGTACTTCTTTAGGGGTTATGCAGTTAAAAGTACAATTACTAAAAAGAAGTACGCGTACTGCTGAAAACAGTAGTCTAGCAAGCCTAAATATTATGTCCATTTTCCTTATTAGGAAGAAGGAAAAAACCAAGTTGTCTGACTGCTTTTTCAAGAATTTCATGTTGGAATACCTCGATGCGCATTAATATACTGAACACGAAAAAAATAAAAAATAATTTTTTCCCTACCCCAGATCCCTACCAGCGATTGAAAATCCTTACATCAGTATAATTTTTGTAAAATAAAATGTCTTCGATTTCTTCAAAATGGGTGTCAAATGGGTACGAGGAAAATAATCTTAAAATTTGTGTAGAGTATTTTTGGTCACAAAATGATTTTTATTGGGTTGGAGTGGCATATTATTTTCGTTTTTATCGAAATAGGTGTCAAAATTGTCTTAATTTTTAGCTTATACAAAAAATGTCCATTTCAGAATTTTTTTTATTTATTTTTTTTTTTTTTTTTTTTGAAAATAATATGCTCCTTGTAATACACAAACAGCCTGTTTTTCTAAAATGAAAATTTGCCTTCGTTCTTAAAAATAACGAACGAAATTGGCTTTACGTTTTTGTAACGAAAAAATAAATTTTCATGTGAGTGTCAACGAAAGAGCTTTATTTTTCCATATATTTTTGGTTTTTAGAAAATGAATTCGTTCGTAATAAACGAAAGAAATGTCAGAAATAGACGATAGGCAAAGGCCTTTCGTTTGCGCAAAAAACAACGAAAATTATACCAAAATACGAAATAATATGTTGCCACTTGAACCTGAATGCAATTTGCAATAAAAACCTTTAAATTTCTTGAGAGATTGCATACAATTTTCATGTTGTTTTTAAAAAAACATTTTTTCATAATTTAAATTTTTTTTGTAAAATTATTTTATTTTTGTTTATTTTTTAGGGTTAACACCAAACACGTTATTACTACATGAAAAAATATTTAAAATTTCAGAAATGAAATACGTAGGCAATAATGTTCTGTTACGATAGAAAAAGCTCATTTCATTTTAGACATTTTTAAACGAAAACTTTCAAATGTTTTATAAAAACCTAATTTTAAACTTGATCGTAATAAAATGAAATGTTCGTTTGAGAACTAAATTGTTTTAGAAAAACAGGCTGTAAGAGCGGTTTTTTGAGATGGCTTGATGGCTAAATTTAATCTAATGTTAATCCCCTTTGATGTTTTTGAGTACAAACAGGGTGCACTTATAAGGTGAAGTCAATTCTACAAAAACAACAAAAGTAGATACTTCTGTCAAAAAATTTACATGTTGCCACCGTGTTTTTTTTTTTTTTTTTTTTAATTTACCTTACAAAAAGACAATCCCACATGCCCAAAAATCTCTTCACGTAAAGTAAATATGTATTATAAGATAAAATTTATTAAAAATTATACATGAATTGAAAAATAAGGGTAAGACCCCTTATTCACAAACAAAATTTGTATTTTATAGACGGTATTTTGTATGGAAATTTTGTTTTATAAACCTTAGAATATTAGAAAATTATTTATTATTTACTTATTAAAAAAGTAAATAAATTATCAATTAAAATAACAAAAAATTAATATTAGATTACAAAATTGTAAGTGTGTAGTAGCAAAAATACAAATTATATACATATTATTTTTTATCAGTCAATATTGGGAACTTATAAAACCGTGTAGGTCTCTACTATTGTCGTATAAGAAATATATAATGATCTTTATAGAAATGTGACCAAACCACTACCATGGAAAGTTGTTAAAAACTAAAATATCTATGATAAAATCAAGTTTTAATAATTTTATTTACAATAGTGAAATGTTTGTACTCTCAATTGATTAGTAAAAAGTTCCCTATAATTGATAAAATAGATGCATATTTAAGACAAATAGTTTGTGCAATTTTTGAGTATTTCGCATAAATTTACTACGGATTAAAATGAATATAAAATTTATTTATTAATTTTTTGTCCTAAAAATATAATGAATCCCTAGATAGATGTACAAACTTTTTTCGGATTGTAGCAACTCTAAATGGTGTACTTTGATAGTTGTATCTCCCTCAAATAAAAAAAATGAGTGATCAGCTGTTGAATTGACTTCACCTTATGAGTGTACCCTGAGTACAAGATTAAACTTCGCAGTGTTGCCATACAAAACAACAGAAAACGTCACTGTTTGTTATCAAAACAATGCATATTTTAATAAAAAAGAAGAAGACAATTGTAAATTTAATGTGAAAGTTAATGAAAACTTAAATTTAAAACAAAAAAAAAATATTTTGAAGTGTCCATAATTTATACTAATCAATAAATAGAACATTTTAATGTTTAGGTTAGGTTAGGTTGATAGGAGGATGTATACTACATCAAATCCGAAGAAATACACCTAGGCCACTATCGGGCCTGTTGTGCGCTCCAATTCTAACTTCGACGAATGCCTGACAATGGCAAAGAAAGTGCTCCAGAGTTTCACCGTCCTCTCCACATGCTCTACATTCGTCTAAATCCGCATGTCCAATTTTGTATAGATGTGCACGTAATCCTGAGTGTCCACTCAGAATACGTACCATCATACTAACCTCAGACTTCCTCATTTTGAGGAGATTTCTCGTCTTGCTCTTATCAGGGTCACTCCATAGAATCTTTGTGGTTCTACCCACCGTTTCATTATTCCAAGAGGCCTTATGGGAT